TGGATGAGTACCATGTTTAACAGCAAAATCATCGGGCTTGTGAATGGGACTGCCGCCGGGTGGGGGAACATGGGCGGAGGAGCCACACAACTCCTGATGCCGGTGTTGTTTGAAATCATCAAGAAGGCAGGCGCGACACCGTTCACGGCTTGGAGGATAGCATTTTTTATACCTGGGTGGCTTAACGTAATCATGGGGATATTGGTGTTGACTCTTGGCCAAGATCTCCCCGATGGTAACCTCGGTGCTCTTCAGAAGAAGGGTGATGTTGCCAAAGATAAATTCGGAAAGGTACATGTACACATTCATACCTACTACTTAGGGTTCCTAATTCATTGGTCACTCCCATGCTTATTAATTTTATGCTAATTTGGGATTTTTAATTTGTATAGATATTATGGTACGCTGCAACCAACTACCGGACATGGATTTTTGTGCTTCTCTATGGCTACTCGATGGGTGTCGAGTTAACGATTGATAACGTGATTGCAGAATACTTCTACGACAGGTATCATATTGTATAAACTTCATATTTTGTCCATGATTAAATGTGTTTCGATCAAAATAAAGAACTAAATATATATATATATATATATATATATAAATCTTGTACATTTCTGATAATTTTGAGTGATCAAATTTATTACAAAATTAACAGTTGTTTTGTTTTCTGTAATAATGAATGATAGATTTGATCTAAAGCTTCACCTAGCCGGAATCATTGCGGCCAGTTTCGGAATGGCAAATCTCTTAGCCCGTCCCTTTGGAGGGTTCACATCGGATTACATGGCGAAACGATGGGGGATGCGAGGTCGACTTTGGAACCTATGGCTCCTCCAAAGTGCCGGCGGTGTTTGTTGCCTCTTCCTCGGCCTAGTGAACTCACTGCCGTTAGCCATCACTTTTATGATCCTCTTTTCCATCGGAGCACAGGCGGCATGTGGAGCCACGTTCGGTATCATTCCCTTCATTTCCCGGCGATCACTGGGAATCATCTCGGGGATGACCGGTGCGGGCGGAAACTTCGGATCAGGGCTAACCCAATTGATATTCTTTGCAAGTGCATCATTCTCGACGGCGAAAGGATTGTCTTACATGGGTATCATGATAATAATTTGCACAATTCCGGTGAGTTTTGTTCACTTCCCACAATGGGGAAGCATGTTTTTTCCGGCGAGTCAAGACGTGGTCAAAGGTAGCGAAGAGCATTATTATGTTTCAGAGTGGACGGAGGAGGAGAAGCAGAAAGGGATGCACCAAGCAAGTGTGAGGTTCGCGGAGAACAGCCGTTCGGAGCGTGGTGGGAAGGTGGCGTCGGCGGCAACACCAACGACTAACACCCCCAACCATGCTTGATTTCCAGCAATTTTAAGATGTTTTTTTTAATGAAATAATTGCGTGTCTAACATGCAAAAAGAAGGAAAATTTATGTGTTTCGGATCTCCAAGTATGCAAATAATGTTGGGGGCTACAATCTCAATGTTATTCGATACAATTTAATGTGATTAAAGGCACCAATAATCACAACACATTCGCATGTTTATAACAAAATATTCAATTCAAGAGTAAATACCATATCCATGTAATCACAAGTTTTTCTCCTTGAATTCGAACATGAGATCTTCAAGCTTGTTTGACCTTTTGACCCTTTTGGTTTGTCATGACTATTTAAATAATTAGCTATATTATGTTAATTGCTATTTTAATTTTTCGGACCCGTATATTTGGATTTCCGAACATACCCTTTTGCCAAATGCGTTGGTATGCAAAGCTTGGAGGTTAAGAGAAAGACAACCACCACAAACCAAACAAGAAACGGTGTTTATTTGTGTACATTGTGTAGCTAAAATAAATATAAAACGTTTTTGGTTTTTTCTAAGTGTTTTTTTGTGTATTTTTTTCCACCTTTTTGTGTTGATGTTACATGCATAATAAATAAATTAAAGGCAATGAAAGCCACCGTTAATGTCCTTTTCTTACATAATCAAGAAAATGAAAGCTTATGGTTTTAATTAATTTTTAAGATTAGTTGCTTTTTGAAATATAATATTTATCTGAAATGGTGAAAAAGTTTAAAACTTGTAAAAGTATTGGTTGCCGTTACAAAAAGAACATGCATGTTGGTTGAAAACATTCGTTTACATATTGTGAGTTGATGTTTCTTGTGTAGTTAACGGTTTTTGTGTACATAATTTTCATGTTTTATTGTTTTACAAATCGATCAGTAACTGCTCAATCTGGTCTCTATATGTAGAAAAGAAAAAAAACAGCATTTGTGAATTATGGGTATTGTGTTTAATAACTCACTGTCTATTTATACTATATTATAAAGCATTTGATAAAAACTTTTAAAAATATTTTTTATGCATAAAGTACTGTTTATTGATGCATATTACTTAAAATTCAAGGTTACAAGTAAATTCTGAATATGTATAACTTATTAAAGCTTAATGTTTGAATTCGTATAACTAACTGCAGATAAACATAATCAAATACATGATAAACATTATTTTAATTTTTAAAAATCTAAAATATAAATAACATAATTATTGTGTTTTAACAGAATACTTAATTATTATCTTTAAAAAATTATTTTATTAAACCAAAAATAAATTAGTTTTTTTTAAACTTCAATTAAATTATAATAAAAAATTAAATTAAAAAAACACAAAAACGAAAACTTTTAAATAGTTAATTTGATACTAATATCGTTTTTTTTTCAAAATTTTATAATATCTTCAAATTTATATTTTATTCAAAAATACAAACATATAAATTGAAACATTAAAATTAAAATGTATCTCGTTATATTGTGTGAGTACACTTCTGTCGTCCGTAAATGCATGTAATTAGTCTTAAACAATAACAAAAGTTGGTTCTTAATGGCTTAGATGGGGCTCAGAAACTTCAATTTAATTGGGCTTTCCAACAAGATAATATAACCCAAATGTAGATTTAGCCCAAAACGAGTCAAATAGCATGAACTCATTAACACTAACACACTAGAATTCATACAAACTAGTCAGTCTAATAAATAGTAAAATACTTAATTTTTTGTAAAATTATTTATTTATACAATATTTAGTTTTATAGTTTCAAAAACATATATTTGTTTCTCCAGCATTGAGATTTATATATTTTTACTTTATTTTATTTTATTATATAATTTGAAATT